TGTGCTGACAGTGGACAGTGATGGGCCGCGAAGCCGTGTGCTGACAGTGGACGGCCATGGTCCATGGGCAGGAACAACTCGACTATGGAGCAGGGTGGGAGGGAAATTCTCAGCTGTATTCCTTCTTCCACCTACCCTTTGATACCATGTAAATATATTACCTGTTCAAGCACTAAATATGTTTAAAATAACACAAAGCAAAATAAAACCCAGTTGGAAAGCAGCCCGATTCCTTTTACTGACACCTCTTCATCTTTCTAGGCAGGAAGAGCCCTGCCGTAAACCAAGGCAGTCCTGCCGCTGTCGTTAATGACTTTCTAGTTTTCACAAATGCCACATTTAATGACCGTAAGTGTGTGACTATGATAAATGGGGAAAGGCACTAACCCAAATCCTTGCTATTTGGCTCAGCAAAGCAAACCTATGTCAATTCATGTTTTCTCTCCTTGTCTTGGCTTTCAGGAGAGGAACACAGAGGCCAAATGTTCAGAACTGTTGGCGAGAGGGGAGGATTCTAACTGTTTTCTTTGGAAGGGTTTTGTGTGCTGTGCACATGCTTTGAGAGAGTGCTTGAGTGTGCCTAGGCTGGCCCCAGGCACCCCAGTTAAGCCCCTATAGGAAGCAGATGCTGGTGGCCTCCAGGGTGGCCTGGCTGTCAGCTCACAGGGTAAAGAAGGCCACTGGGGCTTTCTAAGTGCGGCTGAGGTGTGGATGTGGGTTTTGCAGACACCTTAGCCCAAGAGGAAAGGAGAGAATTGGGTAATGAAAAGCATCGTTTTCAGGATGTTTTAAAAAAGACGATTCTCGTACTATAACGTAGTTTAACTAGTGAGGAGACAAAAGTCTGACATGTTCCCTCCTGTGCTCACCTTCTCTTAAATACAGCAGCCCCCTTCCCTGAGGGGACACATCCCAAGAACTCCGGGGATTCCTGCGTCACGGGCAGTACTGGCCCCTTGGTTTTTTCCTATACATATATGTCTATGATAAATTTCCATTCATAAATTAGACATAGTAAGAGATTAACAGTAACTAATAATAAAATAGAACAGTTATAATAATATACTGGAATAAAAGTTACATGACAGTGGTCTTTCTCACTCTCAAAATATCTTAATATTTTTGGACTGGTTGCCGTTGGGTAACAGCATGAGGGTGTGACAAGGGATAAGGGGACGGACACCAGCATCCCAACTCTGCACCCACAGCACTGACTAGCAGCAAACTAACTTTCCAGGGCAAGTCCCAGGCCCCCTGTCTTGGGCCAGCTTCCCTGGCGTCCACCTGTTCAGTCCTTCAGCATCCTATACTTGGCTTAAGGCTCTGCTGTTGCAGCCTTGAACCTTTTACTTACTGAACAAAGGCTGCCACATTATCATTTTGCAAGGGTTCCGCAAATTATGTAGCCATTCTTCACTTATCTCATTGTGCCTGAAACCAGAATTCCACTATGGCCTTAAAAAAGAAAGACCTGTCAGGTTGAACATATTTTAAAACAGAAGTCTGCTATTCTTGAATTTTATTTTATTTTAAAGAATGAAATAAAATGGGAGGACGGCTGCAGGGGCTCCGTGGCACTGCCCGACCCTGGGAGGCAGGGACACAGTGGTAGCAGAGGATGTGCTGGAGGAAGAGGCAGAGAGTGGCAGGAAGGAACGGGCTGTGGGGGGGGAGGGGAGGTCGGCATGCCATACCCAGTAGGATGGTGGGGGAGTGGCCCAGAGCTGCCCTAACAAAATACCACCAACTGGGTGAATTAAAACAATGGGAATTTCTTCTCTCACACTTCCAGAGTCTAGAAACCCAGAATCAAGGCATCAACAGGGCCATGCTCCCTCGGGAGGCTCTGGGAGAGAAATTTCTCTGCCCCTTCCAGCTTTTAGTGGCTCCGGTGCCCTTGGCTTGTGGCCACATCACTCTGGTCTCTGTGCCCACTTTCTTCTGGCCTCCCCCTCTCTGTCTTTCTGTGTGTCTCCTCTTCTTACGGGGACACGAATCATGGATTTAATGATTTACCCTAAAACTAGGATATCTTGTCTTGAGACCTTTAACTTAATTATATCTGTGAAGCCCCTATTTACAAATAAGTTTGCATTTAAAGGCTCCCCATGGACATGAATTTTGTGCACCATTCAATGCACTGCCATGGTCAGGGCAGGCCTCAGTGAGAAGGTAAGGTGGGGATGTGCTATAGGGGTGCAGGGGTGAGCAGGGATGCTCAGCTGTGTTCCAGAGAGAGGCTGAAGGTGGCGGGGGGCCTTTGTGGCAGGAGAGGAAGGGTGGGGGCAGGTGTCAAGCAGGGTCTTAGAGACGATTGTCATGAGGCCTGTGTACTTGGCACTTAGTGACATGGGGCCTGCAAGGAGGGCGGCTCAAGAACATAAGAGCCTGTGAGGGTGAGGATAATGAGAAGTGGTTGGCTCATGGGTGTAGTTTGGAGGAAGGACCAGTAGAATTTCCTGAGTAATTGGAGGTGGGGAAGGAGAGAGTGAGAGCATGAACAGAGAGTGACTCTGAGCCCCATGGCTGAGCAGCCAGAAGGGTGGTGTGAGAGCAGGACTCAGCCTCGAGCGTGAGATGCAGTGGTCCTGGCATGGAGCTGGCCACTGACCACACACGTGGTGACTCAGAGCTAGGCCGGGGCTGGAGGCCTAAGTTGATGGGTGAATGACGTTTGCTCTTTATTGGCTACTGCTAGGGGTTAGTGTCCTGGTTCACAGATGGAAAGGGGTGGGGTGAGAGTGAGAAGGAAGAGGGAGAGAGGAGGTGGTGGGGAAGGAGGGGCATGGACAGTTTCTACCAGGGCCACCCCCAGGGTGTTACCATAGAGCCTGAGTGGGGATGAGAGAAGGGACTTCCAGAATCAAACAGACCTGAGCCTCAGTTTTGATTGCTGTGAAATGGGGGTAGTGAGAGCAATCCAGCCACAAAGACAAGACAATGACAGTCACTGACCTCCGTGGTTCTCAGGATGTGCTAAGTGCTGAGCATGTCACAGTTCTAACTTGACTGGCCGTCATAAGAGCTAGGTCAGTTGGCTATTCTTTCTATGTGGGAGCTGAGCAGTCTGAAGCACAGAGAGGTTCAGACGCTTGTCCAAGGTCACATAGCAGAAAGGAGCTGGTGCTGACTCACTGGTGCCTGTGTGTTTCACCCTGGGCTATGTCTGCACGCTTCTCTGCTTGTGTGCTTGGCACACACGGAGGACGTGACAGGAACAGGCACATGGCTGGCTCAGCTCTGTGTGTGGGTGTGAAGATTTCCCACCAAGCACTGACTTTGAAGAGCCATCTCACACAAATGTCACAGACTGCCCTGTGAGTGAGCGGTTTCAGAAATGAAGCTGATCAAACACTTGGAAGAGACAAAAATGTCTCCAAGTGGCAGTGGGAGTGGGGAGGGACGTGCCGGCCATGCTGGAGCACTCAGGCATTGCTGAGCTACTCCCGACCTCCAGGCCAGCGCAGGGAGATGTTAAAATAGATGTAAAAATATTAATGTGTCTCTGTGCCCAGCATGCAGACAAGGAATGAAGGGACTCCTGGTGTCTCCCCCAGGCCCTGTAAACAGGCAGCACTGCTCTGCGCAACTCCATTTTTCTTTTAAAAACAAAAGTAACTGCCAAACCAAACAGCAACAACCCCAGACCCCACAGTGTCGTTTTCTGAGTAAAAAATCAGAAATTCATTATGAAGCAAGTGGGAAGTTCAGAAAAGCATAAAAAAGAAAATACAAATCTCCGGCTATTCGGCCACGGTTGACATTTTGGCCGATTTTCTCCCTGGCATTTTTTTCTGTGTGTCCATGTTTCATGGTGTTCCAAATCTGGGCTAATGTAGAGGGTGTCTTTCAGTATTCTTCATTTTTAACTTAATATGCTTTTATGATGAAATTCCACTTTGGAAAAAGTGAAATGATTGGAACTAAAATCATTTTTATGAAAAGAATCTTAATTGACCATATTATATCGTATCATATATCATTTCTCATCATAGCCATCACATCAGATAATTGACATAACCAGTTTACTGCTGTTGGACTTTTAGGATGTTTCCATTATTTATTTTTATAATAAATTATGCTCCAGTGAACACCCTGGCAAACACATCTTATAGTGCATCTCTTAAATCTGTTGCTTTGGATAGTGCTTCTCTAACTTTCTGCCAAAGTGTGCCCTATAGGCGAAACGTCTATATGCCTCTGGCCAAAAAAACCATTTGAGAGAGAGCAGTGAAAAGACTTTGTGCAGGCATACTTGTAAGAAACTGAGGCAGAATCCCATGTGGCCAGGTTAGTTGTGGGCCTAACATGACCAAGGCTTTGGTGGAATA